TTCGCAGAAGCTCCTCCGAGAGGCGCGTTACTCACAAGCGCCATCATCAATTAAATTATCTGGTTATCATACACAAACCCCTTCTTGCTGTCCATCTGCAGGAGTGGGAAGGGGAAGGGAAAGGAGGAAGGAGGAGGGGAAAGGGAAAGGAAGGGGAGGGAAAGGAGGAAGGGGAGGGAGGGAAGGGGAGGGAAAGGGAAAGGAAAGAGGAAGGGAAGGAGGAGAGGAAGGGGAGAGGAAAGGAGGAAGGGGAGGGAAAGGAGAAAGGGAGGAAAGGAGGAAGGGAGGAAAGGAAGAAGGGGAGGGAAAGGAGGAAGAGGGAAAGGAGGGGAGGGAAAGGAGGAAGGGGGAGGGAAAGGGAGGGAAAGGGAGGGGAAAAGAGAAGGGCTACGAAAGGGAGAGGGAAAGGAAAGGAGAGGGGAGGACGGGATGGAGGGGGAAAGCTACAGGGAAAACAGTATGAGGGAGGGAGAGGGAAGGGAGGAAAAGAGAAAGGAGAGGGGAGAGGGTGACGAGAGAGGAGAGGGTAGAAGGGAGTGGAGGGAGAGAGACAGAGGACGACGACGAGAGAGGATGAAGGGAAGGAAGAAGGGAGAAAGAAGAGTTGGGGAAGAGAGGGAGGTCGAAATGGGAAGGGAGAGAGGGGAAGGCGAGGAGAGGCAGAGGGAGGTGTATGAGGTATAGAAGGGAGAAGGAGGAAAGAAGTGGGGAAAAAGAAGGGAAAGGGAAGGGAAGGGAAGGAAGGAAGGGAAGGAAAGGAAGGGGGAAGGGGAAGGGAAGGGAAGGGAAGGGAAGGGAAGGAAAGGGAAGGGAAGGGAAGGGAAGGAAGGAAGGGAAAGGGAAGGGAAGGGGAAGGGAAGGGAGGGGGTGGGGAGGAGAGGGGAAGGGAGGGCAGGGGAGGAGAGGAAGGGAAGGAAAGGGAGGGAGGGTAGGGTGGAGAGGAGAGGGGAAGGGAGAGCAGGGGAAGAGAGGGAAGGGAAGGAAAGGGGATAGGATGGGAGAGGGAAGGGGCATGTGGAGAAGGCAGGGGAGGCGGGCGAGAAGGGAAACGACAGGGATGATGAATAGAACACGCGAGAACAAAGGACAGAGAAGGAGTGACGAACGAGGGAAAAATGAAAAGAGGAGATGAAAGGGAATGCAGAAGGACAGACAAGAGAACTGAAGAAAAATAAAATCAGGCACAACTTACGAAAGAAAAAAGTAAACAATGCACATAAACAATATAAACAAGTATGTGAACAATTTCACAGTTAGTAGTCAAGTACATGGGAATCAGTTTTAGTAAGAATAATAAAAGATAAGAAAAAAACATATATATGTACTAGCATTACTAAAAATACACATATGTAAAATACACAAATAGACAAAATTAAACAAACAACAAACTATTACCGACAAATTAAACAAAGAAAATCAAGATCAAGGAGGCAACAAAAAAAGAGGTTTGCCGAAGGAAGAAGAAAAGAAAAAGAAATTAGGAAAATTTGTAAACAGGAAAAAAACAACTCTACACCCATCCTACACCCCTCCTCGCCTCCCAGCCTCCCCGTCCCTCCCCTCCCAGCCCCCCGGCCCCTTCACTAACTCCCCTCCCTCCCAGCCCCCCCCCCCCCCACTCATCCTCTCTCCCAGCCCCCAGGCCCCACCAGTCACTCCCCCTCCCAGCCTCCCGGCCCCTCCACTCACCCCCCCCTCCCGGCCCCCCACTCATCCCCTCTCCCATCCCCCCAGACCCTCCACTCAACCCCTCTCCCAGCCCCCTGGCACCTCCTTTCACCCCCCCTCCCAGCCCCCATGACCCCCCCTCATCCCCTCTCCCATCCCCCACGCCCCCCACCCCCTTCGCCCTTCTCTGTGCATCCCAAGTCGTTTTTCAGGATCAACACTAGGAAAGAAAGAGGAGGTTAACAAAACGGGGAGGAGGGGGGGGGGCGGCTGTGAGGCAAGTTGTGAGGCAAGTTGTGAGGAAAGCGGTGAGGCGGAGGAGGCGGCTTGGCTCCCGATCCCTCTTTTCGCACGAAAAGGGAGGGGAGTGGGAGGGAGAGGGAGGGTGGAGGGAGGAGGAGGGAGAACGGGAAGGAAGGAGAGAGGAAGGGCAGGGGTGGGGGGGAGGGGGGAAGAGGGAGGAGGTGAGAGGAGAGAGGAGGGGGAGGAGGGAGAAGAAGAAAAAAGGAGGAGGAAGAAGAAAAGGAGGAGAGGAGGGAAAGAAAAAAGGAGGAGGGAGAGGAGGAAGGAGAAGAAGAAAAAAGGAGGAAGAAGAAGCAGAAAAGGAGGAGGAGGAGGGGGGGGGATAAGAAGGTCAGGTGAAAGACCTAGGGCGATAAAAGGGAGAGAAGGCGAATCAAGGATTAGCCCTTCTGTGACGCCAGAGGCACGTAGCCCCCCCCCTCCCCCTCCCAAATTTAGGCTAAGGTTTAAAGGAACAAAGAGCGGAGAGTGTGTGGAAAGGGAGGGAGGGGGACAGACAGCAAAGCAGACTGAGATGGATAGATAGAGAGGCAGACGGAGACAGACAATCTGACAGACTGAGATAAGAAGAGACAGACAGACAATATGACAGACAGACAGACAGACAGATAGACAGGCAGCCTGAGACAGACAATCTGACAGACAGATAGACAGCCTGACAGAATGAGCTTGATAGAAAGAGCGACACTTTAACTTACTACTGATGGCCATATGTACTATCAACTATTTCTTTAAATTCACTTTACCTACAGCTTGATTTTTTATTTAAAGAGTATCACTATCGCCGTTTTTAAAATTAGTACAACAATAACAATAACAATAACCATTATCACCATTATGATCATCACAATTATAACAATCATTATTACTATTATTATCTTTATCATAACCATCACCGTTATCATCATTTTCATCATTACTGTTATTACTATTACTACTATCATTATCATCAATACTTTCATTAGTAAAAGACGAGGTAAGGAAGGACTACTAATAAATTGGTACATGTAAAAAAAAAATGACAAACAAACAAAAGCAACAACAAAAACATCTTAAACACTTATAAGAGCAAAATCAAGACCAAAGCAACATAAAAACAAAACAATCATCACATTATCACCATCATTCGTCTCTTATCACCATTATAATAAGAAATAAAAACAATAAACATAAGAGAACGCCCAGCAGCAGGATCGGGGGGGGGGGGGGGGCAGCCTCATCCATCGCGAACCGGAAGTCACTCATCAGCTAATGGATGACCCGCGCAATGGCAATACTCGCCGGGAAACAGAGAAACGTCGCCATAAAAACGAGGAAGAAATAAACAACAGGTGAAAAATAATACGACTTATTTATGTGCAAAAAAGAATCAGCCAAACGGAAACGCTCTCTGGGGGACTGGGGGAGGGGAGGGGAGGGGGACGGGGAAGGGTGGGGAGTAGGGTTAGAGGAGGGGCTGGGGTAACAGGGAGGGGAAAGAGCGGAGAGGCAATAGGAGAGAGGAGAAGAATAGCAAGAGGGAATAGGGGAGGAGGAGAGATGAGAGAGGGGATAGGAGGGAAGAGAAGAGAGAGGGAATAGGAGAGATGAGAAGCGAAAGAGAGAGGAGAGAAAAGGGGTGGTGGGGAACGATGGGAGGGAAAAAAAAAAAAGAAAATGGAAGGTGGGAAGAAGGAAAGAGAAAAGAGGGAAATGGTGTAAAAGAAAGAGGGAAGGGGAAAGCGGGGAGAAAGAGGGAAATAGCATAAGGGAAAGAAAGAGGAAGAGGAAAGAAAAGGGGAATGGCGAAGGGAAGAAAAGAGGGAACGGCGTACGGGAAGGAAAGAGGGAGAGGGAAAGAGGATTGAGGCGTGACTGACTGTGGCTCAAAGGGTGACGCGAACGCACGCNAAGTAAGGGAAAGGAGGAGGGACAGAGAGAAGGGAAGGGAGCGAGGAGAGGAAGAAGAGCAGCCCGACAGAGAGGAAGGCCAGAGGAAGGAAGGGCCATCGGAAGGGGAAGAGGAAGAGGGAGGGACGGCTGGGGACAAAGGAAAGGGGAATACTGGGGAGGATCAGGGCTGGCAAAGGGAAAAAAGGAAAGGAGGAGAGAGAGAAGAGGGAGAGACAAAAGGAGAAGGCAGAGTGGCAGAGTGATGCAGCACAGGACGAAGCTGGCGGGAGAGGAGCAGAAGGAAGAGAACAGAAGGAGAGGGACGGAGGGAGAGGTAGAGAAGGCAGAAAGGAAGAGGGAGGAGAGATGCGAGAGGAACAGGGAGAAGGAGAGGGAAGAGGAGAGAGAGGAGGAGGGAGAGAGAGAGAGAGAGAGAGAGAGAGAGAGAGAGAGAGAGAGAGAGAGAGAGAGAGAGAGAGAGAGAGAGAGAGAGAGAGAGAGAGAGAGAGCAACAGTGACAGC